AAAAAAACGTGAATAATTCAGGCGCCATTTGTTCCCATTTCTCCTCTAACACTTTATGCTTTATGCATGTTTCTCTTTTTGTGGTCCAGACGCGTAAATCCGAATCCTGCCTGACCAGAACCAGAACCAGAACCGGGATCCGGGTCCCAGGATCTGGGTCCAGGTTCAGATTCTGCTCAAATCCAGCTCTTAAGTGCGTAAAAGGAGCGTCCATTCGCTGGTTCCAAACCACCTCTGCTCTGTAAAATTGTAAAATAACCTTTTAGAACGATGCTTAAAATTAAAATAAAGTTTCTAATTATTCTGTGGACCTTTTATAGGCAGGACTCTATAGTCAGGAGGCCGTTTCCGCGTCCTGGTTCCGCTCAAATCCCCAAAGTCTCTCCAAAAATGAAGGTTTTCTTTCCCGGGCCGGTCAAAAACAAAACGACCACCACTTCTGAGCCTCAAAGGGGAAAAAAAGGTTGGTTTTTCCTGGACAGAAAGGTTGGACGAGCCTGGAGTTGTGTTTGAATTCCGGGCTGGAAACGAGCCAGGAGGAAATAATAAAAGAGAAACCTAAAAAAAAATCCTCCTGTCGTCTTTCCTCCTTTTTAAAAATGTTTATTTCTAGGTTTTTGACATCAGAAACTCCGGTTTTTTTAATCAGGAATTAGAGTCTGTCCAAGAAAGAAAAAGAAAAAAGATCCACAATCATAATATCAATCCGAAAGGAAGCAGATCAGTCCACAGTTTAAACTCAACTTTTAACTTTTTTGTTTACTGAATAATAAGGGACATCTTTCTCCCCACAGAGAGGAGCCTGCCCTCTTTTTTTAAAAAGCCAGTAGGTGGTGGGCTGAGTGCCGAAAATGTTTTATAACCGAGTTTTAGACGACAAAATCTGAACCTGAAAGCTTTAGGGACTGAAATAAGGCGAGAAAAAGTAGAGAAATAACAGGGAAAAAGTTTGATTGACCTTTTTAAAACTTATAATAATTTTATAATAAAATGAGTGCGTAAACAAAGGAGAAAAATTAAGTGAATCGTGAGGAAAGAAACTAATTTAAGAGTCAGTTCCAGAGTTTTTATCTTATTTCTAGTCTAAAAGATAAAACTAAAGGATCGAACTAAAGATTTATTCAGACCTCAGAAATATTCTGATTGATAATACTGATAATAATATTAAAAGTCTATGTGTTGGTGATTCAGATTCGGTCAGAAAAGCCAGAAAAACCCGTTTAAAGTTGGAAAAACGAAGCGTGAACGTGCACTTTTCTCCTTTTTGGGCCTGAACTGCGTCTCAGGATCGCCCCCTGCTGGTCAAACCTGGAACTGACACAAAGACACAAAAACACACACACCAAACTCACACACTCACTTATTTTTTTATTCTTTTCAGACATTAAAAAAGAAAAATACAAATCCCACAAACGGGAGGCGGATTGGGAGGAAAAACGGACAGTTTTGGAGGGACGAGAGGGAAAAAAATGGAGGCTGAAATGTTTCCTTTAAGGCAGAAGACACAAACACCCGACGGAGGAAAAGGCACCGAGTGTTTTTCTGAAGGCTTCAAGAGTTAAATAGAGAACAATCACCTCCAAACCTTTAGAACCACCTGGAAAATGTATAAGACGATTAAATCTATCTTTATTCCCCCTTAAACAGCTTAATTTCTTGGCCTTAAAAGCAAAAAAATATGATTTTTTCCCTCTATATTACCGTTTCTTTATCCTCTGAGGGGGAAAAACACTAAAAGC